AGAGTGTGTGTGAGTGTGAGTGAGAGTGTGTGTGAGTGTGAGAGTGTGTGTGAGAGTGTGTGTGAGTGAGAATGAGAGAGAGTGAGAGAGAGTGTGAGTGTGTGTGAGTGAGAGTGAGTGAGAGTGTGTGTGAGAGAGAGTGAGTGTGAGAGAGAGTGAGTGTGTGAGTGTGTGAATGAGAGTGAGAGAGAGTGTGAGTGTGTGTGAATGAGAGAGAGAGAGACTGAGAGAGAGAGTGTGAGAGAGAGAGAGACTGAGAGAGAGAGTGTGAGAGAGAGAGAGACTGAGAGAGAGAGTGTGAGAGAGAGAGAGACTGAGAGAGAGAGTGTGAGAGAGAGAGAGACTGAGAGAGAGAGTGTGAGAGAGAGAGAGACTGAGAGAGAGAGTGTGAGAGAGAGAGAGACTGAGAGAGAGAGTGTGAGAGAGAGAGAGACTGAGAGAGAGAGTGTGAGAGAGAGAGAGACTGAGAGAGAGAGTGTGAGAGAGAGAGAGACTGAGAGAGAGAGTGTGAGAGAGAGAGAGACTGAGAGAGAGAGTGTGAGAGAGAGAGAGACTGAGAGAGAGAGTGTGAGAGAGAGAGAGACTGAGAGAGAGAGTGTGAGAGAGAGAGAGACTGAGAGAGAGAGTGTGAGAGAGAGAGAGACTGAGAGAGAGAGTGTGAGAGAGAGAGAGACTGAGAGAGAGAGTGTGAGAGAGAGAGAGACTGAGAGAGAGAGTGTGAGAGAGAGAGAGACTGAGAGAGAGAGTGTGAGAGAGAGAGAGACTGAGAGAGAGAGTGTGAGAGAGAGAGAGACTGAGAGAGAGAGTGTGAGAGAGAGAGAGACTGAGAGAGAGAGTGTGAGAGAGAGAGAGACTGAGAGAGAGAGTGTGAGAGAGAGAGAGACTGAGAGAGAGAGTGTGAGAGAGAGAGAGACTGAGAGAGAGAGTGTGAGAGAGAGAGAGACTGAGAGAGAGAGTGTGAGAGAGAGAGAGACTGAGAGAGAGAGTGTGAGAGAGAGAGAGACTGAGAGAGAGAGTGTGAGAGAGAGAGAGACTGAGAGAGAGAGTGTGAGAGAGAGAGAGACTGAGAGAGAGAGTGTGAGAGAGAGAGAGACTGAGAGAGAGAGTGTGAGAGAGAGAGAGACTGAGAGAGAGAGTGTGAGAGAGAGAGAGACTGAGAGAGAGAGTGTGAGAGAGAGAGAGACTGAGAGAGAGAGTGTGAGAGAGAGAGAGACTGAGAGAGAGAGTGTGAGAGAGAGAGAGACTGAGAGAGAGAGTGTGAGAGAGAGAGAGACTGAGAGAGAGAGTGTGAGAGAGAGAGAGACTGAGAGAGAGAGTGTGAGAGAGAGAGAGACTGAGAGAGAGAGTGTGAGAGAGAGAGAGACTGAGAGAGAGAGTGTGAGAGAGAGAGAGACTGAGAGAGAGAGTGTGAGAGAGAGAGAGACTGAGAGAGAGAGTGTGAGAGAGAGAGAGACTGAGAGAGAGAGTGTGAGAGAGAGAGAGACTGAGAGAGAGAGTGTGAGAGAGAGAGAGACTGAGAGAGAGAGTGTGAGAGAGAGAGAGACTGAGAGAGAGAGTGTGAGAGAGAGAGAGACTGAGAGAGAGAGTGTGAGAGAGAGAGAGACTGAGAGAGAGAGTGTGAGAGAGAGAGAGACTGAGAGAGAGAGTGTGAGAGAGAGAGAGACTGAGAGAGAGAGTGTGAGAGAGAGAGAGACTGAGAGAGAGAGTGTGAGAGAGAGAGAGACTGAGAGAGAGAGTGTGAGAGAGAGAGAGACTGAGAGAGAGAGTGTGAGAGAGAGAGAGACTGAGAGAGAGAGTGTGAGAGAGAGAGAGACTGAGAGAGAGAGTGTGAGAGAGAGAGAGACTGAGAGAGAGAGTGTGAGAGAGAGAGAGACTGAGAGAGAGAGTGTGAGAGAGAGAGAGACTGAGAGAGAGAGTGTGAGAGAGAGAGAGACTGAGAGAGAGAGTGTGAGAGAGAGAGAGACTGAGAGAGAGAGTGTGAGAGAGAGAGAGACTGAGAGAGAGAGTGTGAGAGAGAGAGAGACTGAGAGAGAGAGTGTGAGAGAGAGAGAGACTGAGAGAGAGAGTGTGAGAGAGAGAGAGACTGAGAGAGAGAGTGTGAGAGAGAGAGAGACTGAGAGAGAGAGTGTGAGAGAGAGAGAGACTGAGAGAGAGAGTGTGAGAGAGAGAGAGACTGAGAGAGAGAGTGTGAGAGAGAGAGAGACTGAGAGAGAGAGTGTGAGAGAGAGAGAGACTGAGAGAGAGAGTGTGAGAGAGAGAGAGACTGAGAGAGAGAGTGTGAGAGAGAGAGAGACTGAGAGAGAGAGTGTGAGAGAGAGAGAGACTGAGAGAGAGAGTGTGAGAGAGAGAGAGACTGAGAGAGAGAGTGTGAGAGAGAGAGAGACTGAGAGAGAGAGTGTGAGAGAGAGAGAGACTGAGAGAGAGAGTGTGAGAGAGAGAGAGACTGAGAGAGAGAGTGTGAGAGAGAGAGAGACTGAGAGAGAGAGTGTGAGAGAGAGAGAGACTGAGAGAGAGAGTGTGAGAGAGAGAGAGACTGAGAGAGAGAGTGTGAGAGAGAGAGAGACTGAGAGAGAGAGTGTGAGAGAGAGAGAGACTGAGAGAGAGAGTGTGAGAGAGAGAGAGACTGAGAGAGAGAGTGTGAGAGAGAGAGAGACTGAGAGAGAGAGTGTGAGAGAGAGAGAGACTGAGAGAGAGAGTGTGAGAGAGAGAGAGACTGAGAGAGAGAGTGTGAGAGAGAGAGAGACTGAGAGAGAGAGTGTGAGAGAGAGAGAGACTGAGAGAGAGAGTGTGAGAGAGAGAGAGACTGAGAGAGAGAGTGTGAGAGAGAGAGAGACTGAGAGAGAGAGTGTGAGAGAGAGAGAGACTGAGAGAGAGAGTGTGAGAGAGAGAGAGACTGAGAGAGAGAGTGTGAGAGAGAGAGAGACTGAGAGAGAGAGTGTGAGAGAGAGAGAGACTGAGAGAGAGAGTGTGAGAGAGAGAGAGACTGAGAGAGAGAGTGTGAGAGAGAGAGAGACTGAGAGAGAGAGTGTGAGAGAGAGAGAGACTGAGAGAGAGAGTGTGAGAGAGAGAGAGACTGAGAGAGAGAGTGTGAGAGAGAGAGAGACTGAGAGAGAGAGTGTGAGAGAGAGAGAGACTGAGAGAGAGAGTGTGAGAGAGAGAGAGACTGAGAGAGAGAGTGTGAGAGAGAGAGAGACTGAGAGAGAGAGTGTGAGAGAGAGAGAGACAGTGTGTGTGTGTGAGAGTGAGTGTGTGTGTGTGTGTGAGTGAGAGTGAGCGTGAGAGACCTGCCTTGTATCGGGACCCGCTGCGGTCTCTGGCGGTGCAGATGAGCAGATAACGGCAGCTGCTCGGAGAGCTCCGGTCCGCGTGGGTCCCGATGGGTAGCAGCGC